TCTAAACCACAACTATATTTACCAAATCTTTTACCTATACATAAAATAACTTCATAATTTGTGTCAATGTTGATAAATATTTAGCAGGTTTTTTTTTCATCATTGACTGGCTATGTGAAGGAAGTTGATTCTCGAGCCAAGTCAAAGCTTATTCATTTATTTATTTCTTTTTCAAATTACATGTCAAGGAGTGATATCACATGTCAATCGAATGAGAGCAAATATGGACACCTACTATAAATCCTCATTGTTTTATTTTCCAACTATGTTGATAAACATTTAGTTAGAGACTTTGTTTCATTAGCACTGGCCGCCCATGTGTGGGAAGGTAATTCCCAAGCCAAAAGTTTTTTTTTTTAATTATTTTTTAAACTTCATGCCAAGGATTGATTGAAAGCAACTTTAGACTGTATTTACCATAATAAATACTGACGTTAAATGTTCCTCAAATCGACTCTGATTGAAAGCTGCTTGAAATTGCATTTGTCATAATAAATAACAGTCGTTAAATATTCCTCAAATCGCCCCAAAGTGTGCTAATCCAAAATATCACAATGTGCTCTAAAAAATATATTATAACCTATGCTTAGATTAACTTCATAATTTATGTCCATGTTGATAAATCTTTGGTAGGCTTTTTGTTTTTTTCATTGGTAGAATAATGCACATCCCCCATCTGCTGGCTCCTTTCGCCCAGGGGCATCGCGAAGAACAATGTCAGAGACAGGGGGAGAACCTTTTGTTGGTTACGCGCGAAAGCAAAACTGCATCTCCGCAATGTTGCACAGCCGAAACACATACCCAAACTCACGCACCGGTAGAGGCAGCTCCAGCTCATCGCAATCCTGCTATGCAACCTCCCCAAGCAGAAATTTCCCAATAAGATCTATGGATTGAGTTGAAACAACCTCTGATGCTGTATGGGCTTGAAGCTGGTGCTCATGCAGAGTTTCTAGAACAGTCTCTACATGTTTCAGATACTTCTCTCCCCGTGAGATCCGAAATAGGAAAGGCATTGATGTATCAGATGTGGAAAGTGGTCAGTCAACTAGCTGCGAAAAAGCTAATGAGAAGTCCATCTGTGGAAAGTCAAATCCCAAGCCAAGTCAAAGGGATTCTTTTTTTTTTTAATTTAAAACCCCATGCAAAGTCAAAGTTTTCCTTTTTTCTTTTTGTCTAAAGGGTGTGAAGCATGTGTGCAACCAAAGTGACCAAAACAAAAAAACCAATATAAACAACAAGCAATGCATGTGGGCTTGGATTTGGTGCACTCTTAAACAACATTAACTTGTTAATTAGGTTTTTTGATCTGTTTTAAATTCAAAAGGTTCCTTCTTGATTTCAAAGTTACACAAATAACAAAAAGGGTTGTAACAAATAAAACAATCCAATCTATTGACTTGACTTTGTTGGATTTAGTTATTTTAAAAACTTTGGTCAAACACTAATGCATGATTATAAACTATTCATTAAATATGGTTTTGAAATTACAAAATTAAGCATGAAGGAAGCATCTCTTGTCTTTGTTCTAGCACATGCTTGCATCTTCAAATTGTCTATATATAAAGTTGGTTTCTTTATACAAACAACTCCAACTTGTAAAAAAGTTATTTTTAGAATATCTTTCAAACAAACACAAACTTTAATGTTAATTTTGATCATATAATAAGTAAAATAGAAATTCTTACCTCTTAAAGATTATTAAATAGAGTAGAAAATCCATTTTTACCATTTTAATAAAAATACTAATTTGACATTGTGATTTACTAGTTAACTTCATTATTTATCAAAATTTCCCTGTGAATACTACCAATCTTTCTAAGTTTTTAACCAAAAAAAAAAAAACTCTAAAGTTATCGTCAGTGCTCGATCATTATTGGACACAATGTGTTTTGTTCCCCCTTCATATAATATTACTGTGAGAAATTTAAACTCACGACCTAAGTAGATATAATGATAAATTGAGTTAGAATTATTATATATTACTTTATTTTCTACATACTCACTAAATAAATAAATAAAATATTGTTTACAAATTATACGAGTGAATATGACTCGTCTATTTGTATATTTAATTAACCTGATACCTAGGTTCGTTTAACATCACTATATTGATGTAAGATTTGGATAAGGGATAAGAATACTCCTTACACACAAGAGATCTGCACATTAGTGTGGTGCTAAGCCCAACGTAATACCTGAGTCGTTAAATAAATATCGTTTAGTTTAGAGTAGCAAAAAGTAGGCTGGTGTAAAAGAACGTATCCCGCATCTCAAGCATCTTATCTTATTTTTAGAGGAGTCTCCTCAAGGTTGCTTGATGAATTGACTCGATCAAGTCGGGTCGTGTCTAATATGGTCCGGTTGAATGGTCCAATTAATTTATTGATTTGATCCAATTTGGTTCACGTCCCTTCTTTGACTTTACTTCATGTGAACTTAATACATCTCACCAATAACAAATTTCACTCATGTATAATGTTTTCTATTTTCAAGATATGTGATAATAGATTTTCACACCCATTTTCATGTTCTATTTTTAAAGATAAACTTTTATGCTCAGATTTTTTTATTTTTTTATTTTTTGAAAAAACTAGAAAAATTAGCTTTTGAACCTCTATTTTAGGTTTTTTGTTAAGATAATTTTTTATGGGTTTCCAAAAGTGAAGTATTCGGAAATCCTGTTTTGTGATGACACATCACGCGTTTAAATGCCGCGTGGAATGATCGTGTTAGTCAATCATAGAAGGAATTTTTTTTTAATTGTTTTTCCTTTTCTAGACAGGAAAAAAAAAAGCGACTTGTAAATATAGCAAAAAGAAAAAA